CTTGCTTTGGTTTCTCTTGGAACAACAGCACCTACGTAATGCAGCTGGCGGACAATAACGCACAGCCAGAGACATGCAAAAATGCCAGAAAAATGTGCTTATGCCACCAAAGGAACCAGTAGTTGTGTTTTGCTGGAACAAAAATAGAAAAGGAAAGAAAGAAGAAGGAAAAACCCAAGTCTTCGGAGTTCCTCGAGTTCTTGGACAGTGTTTCTGCACGAGGAGAGCTATGGAGTGGGGTGGCCATGGGCTGTGCAGGGACCTGGCACTGGGGTCATCACACATGGGAGCCGGGAGACACAGGGTGTGATTTGTATTCACCACCCACCCCATGTCCCGTGCAGAGGGGCTGCCAGAGGCCCCAGCGGTGGAGAAAGGGGCTGTGTGCAGACAAAAAACCCCATCCTTGAGATGGGGGCTGGAGCCCTGGGACAAGGTGAAGGGTAAGAGGCCGCCAGGCTGAGCCCAGCTCAGTGGCATCCCAAAGCCGGAGCCTGGATGGGGTTTCCTGCAGTCCCGAGCCCAGAGCCAGAGGTCGGGGGAGGCTGCACCAGCAGGTACAACCCGGCAGCACTGTGACGGTGGGAGCCTTGGTGCCATCACCAATGCCCAAGCAGGACAAAGCCGTGTGGAGTTCTACTTGCACACACATCCCACAGATTCGGCCACAGTCAGGAGCTCCCGCAGGACGCCGGGTGATGGACCCTTAGGACCACCAGAGTTTGTGAGGGATGGTTTTGGCACCATTGTTTTTTTCCTGCTAAATCCAGGCAGTAACTCTTCGCCCATCTTTTCCATGCTGGCAGGAGGTGGCAGGGGGCTTGGCATGCTGGGATGGAGGTTGGCCAGCCTGGAAAGGAAAGCTTTTAATCCATGTTTCCTCCCCACTGCCATGGGGGACACCCCTCTTGGCATCCCTGGGAATCCACACCCAGAGCCAAACTGAGCATGGCACAAGTTTCCCAGGGATTCCAGCATTCCCAGATTCGGCAAAATTATGGATATACAAAAAGCCTCATGCCCAAACTTCACACTGCTGCCAGTGTGGGAGCCCTGCCTGCATCCTGCCTTCAAAGCCCTGGCTGCTGGCAGGGCTCAGCCAGCACAGGCTTTGGGGGCGCGCTCCCGTTT